GTCTGTAGGAGCACAGGATAGCAGCCACTGCTCATTGTTAACACTGGAGCACAAAAAAGCTGGTGGCTTCATCCAGAATTTATGTAGATGCATGTAAATGAGAAGGTATTTCCTTGGGATCAGATGTAATACACAAGTGAAAAATCAATGGGGAGAATTTCAGACTCTTGCTTGGTGGTGTTTTGAGCCTCCTATTATCTTACAACCTTGGTGTTTTGAGTGCTGATATTATCTTATGACCTTGTTGTTCCTAATGGAAGTACATTCTTCCTCAGATACAGACCTTGGGCTTTTTATATATAATTTTATATATATATATAAACCTTGGGCTTTTTATATATATTTTTTTCAGTGCTTTAAGATTTATTTTGCCTGATTTCATTTATCACTTTTCTAGGTTTTTTTTTTCTCACTTTTATCCATCTACTGACCAACCTATGTGCAATAAATTCAACATTTTTTCCATACACATGAAATTAGAACTGTTCTCTTTCTTTTTAGCCAGCCTTCCTACTTTTTATTTACTTCCTTTGTTTATTGTCCTTCCTTCCCTCCTACTTGCCTTTCTTTCTTCACTTTGTTAAAAGGTAGTAATGAGCTCTAATAACATCTCTATACTTCAGTTACTGCTGCTAATTGCAATCAAACTTATCACCCTCTTTAACTTTTGTTACCATTTAAACATTCTCAAATCCTAGTCACATTACTGACTTACTTGTTCTACAGAGCCAAAAAAAAATAATATAAATTGATAATTAACCTACAAACAGTACAGCTTTCTATACACTGAAGGAAAATTAGTTTTAATTGCAGGTTTGGACGAGATAGGCTGAAGTGACAGAAGAAACTGCATTTAATGCAGCTGTATTTACAGTAGTGTGAAAGATGTATAAATGCAAAATGGAAATATTTAATAGTCACTGCCTGCAACTCATTTAATAGCATTATTAAGAAACAAAAGTTCCTATAAATTTGAATCCTGATATTTAATGTGTCTATTGACTTCCATTAGAAAAGTTAAAATACTTTAGGACACTGATCAGTTAGCAAAGCCTCATATTATGTCTGAGAGTGAGACAAATAATAGGACCTTCATACAAAAGAATAAACTGAAGCACAGAGTAAAAGCGGCTACTAGAACTTCACAGAACCACAGTTGTATCTAAAATTAACTAAAATTAAGAAAATCTTGTGTGAAACTGGAGCTCTATGTGGGTCACGTGTAGCTTCCTCTTTAGAACAGCATTTGGTTTGATCTCCTTTTGTTTTCTTCCACCCAAGCCAAAGCTCTCAGGCTCTTCTGCTGGCCAGCACCAGTTGGCAGGCTGTGCTGTCCCTGAGGTGTGTCTAACCCTCTGTGCAAGGTGTCACTTCCAGAGAGATGCCACAGCAATGTCAATGCTCACACACATTCCAGGCAAATAGAGCGTCAGGACCTGTGTTCCCAAGAAATATGTGCAAAACTAAGGATGGTTTAAGTGAAGGATGAGCTGAGCCCTGCATCCCCCGCCAGCAGAGTTTACAAGAACTCTCTGTGTAGATTCAGTCAGTGGCCTCTCTGCCAAGACTGTCAACAAAGGTGCCAATTAGTGCCAGTTGTGATGATGATTTTTGTGATGCCAGCACCTGTACACTATGAGCTGGACTGTGACCCCCCCTCACATTTCCCATTAGATGCTGAGCAGCTGTCAGGTGGCAGCAGAGCTGAATGATGTGTTGGGTTCTGTGCAAATCAGCAAGTCAGACAGGCTGTATTGTCTCTAAAATGCCTTTCACATCAAATTATTTTAATCTCTCTTTAATAATGCAACTGACTTTGTTCCTTTGACTTTAGTCTGTTTTCTAGCTCATGGATTATTATTCATATAATACCAAGTAACATTGTGTGACAAAACAAAACAAATTCAAATGCAAGTATAACAAGAATTTGAGCTGCAGGTACAAAAATCACACTTGCCAAAATGTATTTACACAGCCTTTTAGTGGCAATAAATTCTGTAATTGTAAAACTATCTGACTTTGGCACAGCATCAGCTTGATAAACAGAGACCTGTACAGAGGTGTGTTTGCAGTGGACATGCACAGTTTTTAATGCATGCAGATTTTAATACTGTTTACCAGTTCAGTTTGGAGAACAAAAGCAGGTTTTTATATGCAGATGCAAACCAGGTATGCATGCACACGTGTGCTGAGATCCTGATCAGGACACCATTGCCGTAGGGGAGTTATTATCTCACACAGCCATTGTCCCAGACAGGCCAGGCCTGCACTGATGTGCTGGGCACACAAAATGTGCTGGGCACACAGCACGAGCTCCAGGTCTGTGCTGTGCTCTGCACGTCCCTGCCTGCAGGACAGGCTTGGCTGGCTGATTGCAATGAAGCAGCCCGCGGGCAGCTGCCACGGGGTCACACCAACTCCTTGCCTTTGTCTAAAGCAGCACCAACAAATTCCCATGTGTGTATCCTTTTTTCTTTGACAGTGAAAATGATTAATGGAGTTATTTTGTTTTAAGAAAACCTTACAGGAACTCAAAAGACTGAAATATTGGGTAACCTTTACATGGACAGGGTCTGCACAGGATTCTGAGCCTGCATGGAGGCTCATTCAGCGGTGCATAACTTGGGCTTCCCAGCACCTGAATGGATGTAAGATTATCTGTGCTAACCTTTTTTCCTTTAAAGTGTTAGCTACAATAAATGTTTAAATATTTTAAACCATATTTCACAGCGTCTGAGTGTCCTTGTTACTGGGATTACAATGATCCAGCAACTCCAGGCACAAAATCCTATTTGTGGGAATGTGTGTCATGCACATAGTCTGTTGTGCTTTGATTGGTCTCTTTTGTGATCTTGCTTCAATATCACACCTTCCCATCAGCCTCATCTTTTTTGTCTGTCAATTTTGTTCTGCTGTTAATTTATTGAATGTACCTCACAGAGGATTATATGATCCTTGTACTTGGACATGTGTCATGGGTTCACGGGCACAACATTTTATGCAAAACTCATATTGACCATCCCTGCTGAAGAAAGACTTTATGGAAAAGTCCAAACCCCACATTATTTATTGGAAACAGTTGATAAAAGGAGGTGTCTCTTAAAGTTCAAGTATTGCTTCATAAGATGCACTTGATTATTTTGGTAATTTTTCAAAAAAGCATGACTGTGATCACATAGTGAAAAAAACACATTTTATAGAGGAACTAAATAAGGCTGCACAATGTATTCAAGGTGTTCCCCATGTTAAATACTGTGTGACACAGCAAAAACATTTTGCACAATCATGAGAATGAAAAACTGTATTAAAAAACCCCAATTCCTTAATCTGATATATTGGACTGACTCTCTAAGAAATTCTGGAGATTTTGTGGGACTACACATTGAATCTCCCCTCAAAACCTTGGATTTTTTATTCAGCCATGCCCTAAACATAGTCTTTTAGATGATGGATACAACTGCAAATATTTTATTTCTTTCATAGCAAAAGTATATATGATCAGAGTTCTTAGCAATTATAAAAGTTATAAATGATAAAAAATTATAAAAAAATCACCGATTTATACTGTGAATAATAATTAGGAGCTAAAAAATTAGTTTTATTTATTATTTTCTGTATGTGGCATATTGGATGGCTGATATGTTTGGTTAGGAAGCAGAAAAGAGGTATTTGTAGTAATTTCAGTTTCAAGGACTATTAGTTTAATAACAAGCGGCTTGATAGAAATTTGTATCCATTGGACTTTTTCTAGGCACACAGAAAGCATTAACTTCTGTAGGCACCTACAAAATGAACACCTATTAGGGATTTTTTCTGTAGTTTTGCAAATCCTTTGAAGTTTTGAAATAGATTGCACATTGTCAATGCATTGAAAAGCTATCCTCCTTTATAGTTACAAAACAAAGGATGAAAAATACATTTACAATCTCCAGTGGAAAATAAAATTACTTAAAAAAAAGAAAATAGAAAAAACCCAACAAGTATAATATATATACTTACAACTATAATATATATATACTTATACATTCGGTCGAGATGCTGAAAACATATTTTGGATATGGTTATTTTGTCTCTCTTGACCAAAGTAGGATGGTTTTGCTCATCAGGATGCTGCATGTAATGTACCACAGAGAAGTTTTTCTTCAAGATGGTGTGGGAAAAAGAGGTTCAACATAATTTCTAATTGTGAGCTTGTGCAAACCCATGTAGGTCTACGTCAGCCAGTCATACTTCAAGACTTTTTATCTTTGGAACGATATAAAATGTTTTCTTTAACAATTATTTATATCTTTAAAATCTATCTTGTTATATTTGTGGGTAATACCACATTTATCATATCTCATGAGGACTGCATATAATACAGGGGCAAGCTATATACTTAATTTTTTCATTTTTAAGCACAGCACTTTTTCAGTTGCCATCATAAGATTGAACATGAGGACCCTGATGGTGTATTTTAGGGATGAAATTCAACATCCAGAAGGTTTTTTTCCCCCTTACACCTATAATCAAAAGGAAGAGTCTTCATGCAGATAATAATTTAAGGTAGGAAATTCTGACAGTTCTTATATTAAAACAGCCTATTGGATATACTGCAAAATCCTTTGCCTCCAAAGAGTCCATACCTTCAGAGATGGTATGGACATATATGTATCCAATACATATGGATAATGTATTCCAACACATAACACAACTCCATGTGTTGTGTGTTGGAATACATTATCTCTGTTCTTAGGCTATTCAAAGAGAAGCTGGAAAATCTGGATTTTCAGCAGTGCTGATGCAGTACATTATTTGCTGCAGTTCAACATATCAAGCAAAACTTGGTGCACTGTGCACCTTCTGTTAACATATCTTCCCATGTTCAAAACTAGAAAATATTAATGGAAAATGGGCCATGCAAGCGGGAAAGAGTGTTGTAAAGGAATTGAAACAAATAGCATGCATGCTGGCTCTTTGCTTGGCTTAGGCTTTTGAAAACTAGACAGAATTCACAGCTGGACCATTAAAGCAGAAAGGGATTTATTCTGTGTAGTTCCATGATCTTGTTACAATCTTTGTCATAGAAAAGGAAGCAAGAACCTTGTACCATTTTCAGCTCTTGTTTAATATCTTCTTCACAGGAAAATGTTGCCAGGATATTAAACTCATCTGTTCTTTTGGATAATAAGGATGTAATGTACCATTCTGACCTTTCCAAATGCTGTGTTTCAAATTACTGTGCATTAGATTTTTTTTTCTTGATTACAGTCTCACTAACCTGTAGAAATAGAATGAAATAAGATTTAGTCAAGACACAGCATATCAAGCATGATCATAACAAAATCACACATTTGTATAGCTCAAGGGCTATAACAGAAATTAACACTTTGTTGTGCTATATGATTGCTCTGCTCATTCATAACAAAGCAGCTAAAATGATATTTGTTTAAATTTTTGACATGCTAATTCAGAGCTGCAAGCTAAAGAAATTTTATTTGGTTCAAAGTTTAATTATGAGAATAAGAAATACTCTGTTTCTGGTATCCTGTAGAAAAGTTTCAGAGATGAAGTCATAAGAGAACTAAATTATAATCCTCAAATGGAAATGTAATTAAATGATAAAATATATATGACTGAGGGCCAGATTCTGTTAACCTTATCCATTTTTTATTTAGATTCAGAAACAGATATTCAGGGCAGAAGAAATGATGCATTTAGTCTAAGCTCCTGCGTGGTCCCAAAATGTTATCTATCAGCCTCTGTATCTTCTGAGTGAGATGCAGCACATCTTTCTAAGAGATCCAGATGGCTCTGATGGTTGAAAGCTCTCATTGTTAATTTGGTGATGGGGGAACAGACTGGAATTCTTGGCTCCAGCTAATTACACATTCCTTCCTCCTAAATGAGAGGGCTCTGTACTGTCAGGAATACTTTTTGCCTGTAGGTACCTGAAGGCTGTAGTCATGTTACTTCTCAACTTCTCGACTGATTTAATAGCTAAGAATCTATTTAGTATTTCACCATTGGTACATTTTCCTGTATTTTTTTATTTTCAGAATTATTTTCTGTACCTATTTTTAACTTTCCATACCTTTTTCAACAAACCATAAAGGCACATGGCTTTCCAGTAAATTTGACAAATGTGAAAAACCTGACAATTTCTGAATACTATTTACCTATTTACTCTTACCAAGATTACATTGGTCATCAAATAGCATCCCATTCATAGTTCATATACAACTTCCATTTCTAATGACACTGTGTCTTTCTCAAAACCATTATTTTTCTGAATAATTCAGGATCAAAACATACTTAAACCAAAATGAATTATTAATCTAAGCAAAAAATTAGATGCAAGCTGTCTCTTTTTACACAATTAAAAATAAGTCAATGCGCTACTCCCTTGTGTTCACAGTTTGATTATTTTATCTGTAAGTGTCCATATTAATGGGACTTTAAAGTGGAAGTTTAACACTTTAGGCTGGTTTCTACTTTCTTTTTAACAGTGGAGTGGTTTTGCCTACAGTTTAACCTCTGCTGAGGAGAACTGGCCAGCCTTGGGACTGATGCTATGGAATTACAGACACAGCGGTGATGAAATAACTGCTAATGGTGCTCCTGAGAGAGAATAACTCAGTGTTGGGGATGTTATGAATGCCTCCTGAGGGACTGCACTATCTGTCAGACCAATTGCTTAGCTGTTGTTTACCTTTTCTGTCTGTGTGGATCAGTAAGCATTTTAAAAAGCACTGGGTAAGAATCTGTTAGCACTTATGAAACCACAAGACAAAATAACAAAAAAAAAATATTGCTGTGACAAGGAAATTTCCCAGTCTGGGCAGCAAATTTCTTTTAAGTGATGTGTCTCATACTGACAAGTATTAAGAGATGAACATGGGGATGCAATGATAGGTAACAATTCACATGATTCTCTGTAGGAAAAACAGGTAAGTATCATCCAGAGGAGCGACAGCCTGAAGTTCCATGTATAACTTATCCTCAGATACATTTTTTTTTTCCTGAGCCTGAACATAGGTATTAAGGAAAAGTACATTTCCCTGGAAAAGAAGTTGAGATCTAGGAAGTAGCTGTAGCTGCAGGTTATACCAGTTGCTTTCTGCTACAATGCTGGATACCAGGAGAAGGCAAGTCATCATTCAGGAAGGGTTTACAATTAATAGATATGGTATTAACTATTTTCTCACTTTCAATTCATATAGACAGCTCAATATCAAAAGGAAGAAGCAAAGCCAGAGCAAGTAATTTAAGGTCCTTTCAGAGGTCTAGCATCCCTATGGATGCACGTGTGGTTAGCCAGGCAATTCACACACACACACAAGGTGACTGAAATGTGAATTTACAACCTTTTCTAGTGTCTAAATATTTGAATGAATGGTGTGGCACATCAGCTGTTCCCTTCTGCCTGTGGTTGCCTACGAGGACATTCTTATTGGAGGCATTAAAGACTAGATATATGAATTAATTACCATAATCTAACCTCAAATGACTACAGGAACCATGAGAACTTCCTCCTGAACCCAAAGATTCCTTGGAGGAAATATTTCTCCTCTTTCTTGATAAACTACAATCTGTGGCATGCTTTCCTAGCAGGGCAGTACATGGAAAAAAACCTGGAACTCCAAAGCACTGTGCATGGTTACTTTGCCTGTCTACATTTGGTAATCTGAATCTTTTTAAGGATCATGAATGTTTTGTTTTGGGCTATTATAAAATCAGCCACCCATACAATATGGCCATAAGGCTCCTTCTCTTCTCAGATTGAGATTGCTGTCACTCACCCCATTCAAAGTGCTACATGGGGAACTACACAAATACATTTTATTGACAGCAGGATCAGGCACCTTCATTTTTCATCCCAATATTAAGCCTACATAAACTTTGGCATCATTGATTTTATGCTTTGTTTCCATGGGACTCTGAAGAAAGGGCCCAGAGAATAAGAAATGAACAAACGTCATTTAAAATGAGGAGGAAGAAAAAATGAAGTCCAATTGAACAAGTGTGTAAAATTGACATGTTATTGTGACAGCATTAACTAGTGACAGCTTGATTTTCAGAACATTCTATCTTTTACTTTGAAAAATAAAATTTAGGTAGTAAACCTAGTTTTCTTGACAGGCCCTTGAAGAAAGGATAAGGATTTTACATGACAGAAGATCTCATTGTGTTTATGAAATATTTTTTGTGTCCCCAAATAGTTTACCTAAGATAAGCTAAACCCATAACTAATTTAATTTTATCAGTGGATTGTAACATTAAGGTTTTTCTTATATTTGCCTTTTTTTTCCCCTTCTGGTTTCTTTTCTGCATTTTAAAGTCTTGGTTTTTTTTTGAAATGTTGTACAATTTTCTCAAAAATTAAGTAGATGAGTCTCTTCTCTTAAGACATAAACTATATATGTATCCCATAGGAATCAGCTTTTCTGGTAGCTGGATAGTTGTCTGATAAAATCACATTCTATTATGAAAAGGGAAACAGGTGAATATTGACAATAGGTTTCAGGGCACGCTTTTATACTGCCAAGAATTTTGGATTTGTTATGACAGAGCAGGAATGAAGACAAACCCTTCACGTTTGCATAGGCAAGAAGTAATTATTTTGATAATTTTGAAGTCATATGAAAATTCTAATGCACAGACCTAAAATTCAATATGCAACCTTGTTTGAAAACCTTCCCTTTTTCTTACAGAGTATAATGAAGTCCACTGTTCAGAAATTAATTACATGAAAATACAACTTGAAAGAACTTATTGAAACAATTAAAATTGCACTTAGAGGTATTTTACTGATTTTATTTTTTATTGTTTTGTAGCAGTTTCAAGGTATCAAACTCTTTTAATGTAGACAATTCCAGTCTTCCTTGAAACTTACTTAGAATTTACTTCCCGGCCAAACAGATTTGTGAAATCAAAAAGGAAAAAATTGAGTGTTCACTGAGTACCTGTCATGAGTGTGTGTAAAGCTAGGCAGAGTTCAGAGGAAGTGTGACTGCTTCTCTGTCATCCTGCCCAAGGCAGCAGCTGGTGAGCGCCTCCAGCTCCGCAGAGGGGCTGGTTCAGGGATGTCCCTGCCAGACCCAACTGCAGCCACCAACCCACCTCCCTTAGGGGCAGAGCCTGCAGGAAAGCCCCTCACCAGGTAGGCTGACCTGGAGCACTCAGCTCTTTCACCCTCTGCTATGGACCTGCAAAAGCTCCAACAACTTTTGGAGACTCTGGTGTGAGGCTGGAAGCAGTGGCTGGAGTGTGGCTTGGGAAGAGTAGGATTGAAATCCATGAAACCCCAGGTTGATTGTGACTCATCCTACTGGGATCCGTAAAGCATAAAGCCACAGCACAAACCAGAAAAGGAAGACATTCCAAGATTGCTGATTGTGCCCCTGGCTCTCAGCACCAACACCTACAACTTCATTCTCATTCTTCTCCAACTTTTCAGTGCTTTTCAATAACTGTGTATTTAATCTCTTCAAGAAAAAAAAACCCCACTATTTATCAAAAAATAAATTACTTTGGAAAAGAATTTAAAATTTCATTCCCTCAGCATTCCAATTAATGCAGTCCACTCATTATTAAAGCTTTAGTTTGCACAATGGAATATTCTGTACACATTCATTGTGTATTGCATATATATGCACTGTACATATGACAGACAACAATTCCAGGCCTGGTAAGTGTTTTCACTTAACAATTATTGAACACAGTCCCTGGTGCAGTGGGATGCTAAAACTCTGTGTATAAAACCAAATAGATTTCAATGATGGTACTCACAAGCTTGTATTTTATATTTCCTCAAGTTCCTCCTTTCTCAGATCAATATGCTCTTTTAAAGGGGTAAAATAAATATCCTTTTATTTATCTGATTCTTAAGGGTATCAAATCTCAGTTGATTCATCCTACATCACATGTGTACCATTGAACTGAAGGCTTGATTTCAAATCTTCTGAAGTCAGTGAACATCACTGAGGGTTTGTGCTAGCTTGAATTTAATCACCACTGTCCTTTGTGGTCACTATGCCAAAAAGTCACTGCACTTCCAGTCCTGAATAAAGAATGCTGGTGATGCACACAACACCAAAAGTGAAAAAATATGTGCTGGGAGGTCAACAATAAAGAATGAGCCTTTCCATTTTTTGTTAATCCAAACATTTGTGTTTCTGATTTAGGGATTATAGTTCAGCAGATGCCAACTGTTTACATTTCAGGAAAGGTCCCTTTGGTATGTATGAAGGACTTGTCCTGAAGTGAGTCTGCTTGATCTCTATAAATATTTGGAGGTAGCGTGCTACTTTAATGGAATTTAAAAAAATAGTGGAGATTTTTATTGGTACATAGACTATACTCCACAGAACATCTTTGAACTGACCTGATGCAGCCCATTTATTAAACTGTCTGCTGTGCTCTCATATTTAGCACAGCATCACTTTAGAGACAGATCTTACCACCTACACACCTATGACGAGACCCACTGAGGTGAACAGGATTTCTCACTGTAGTAAGATACGACTTTTCTTTATGTTTTATTTTCTTTGTCTGTCTGACATTGGAACTTGCTTACAGGTATCAATTCCTGGAGTTGCACACAATTCTTCAGAGTACTGGGAGAGAAAGTAATATCTCAGAAACCACAACAGGCAATTTGTAAAGGCTAATGATTTAATGCCATCTTTTATAGCTTATGGTAAGTCAAACTTTTGTGGTTTTAGTAAAAAGCTTAAACGAGTTCTTGTGTTTATTTTTCACAGTAATTACATTTATCACTCTTAACTAGATACGGATCATTCAAATCTTTTAAATGATATGCCTAAATATATTTTTTTTTTGTTGCCATTGCCCTTTTCTCTCCTTTTGCCCTTGACAAAATCAGCCATGCTGTCCCTTTTTCCAGTTCTCACAGAGAACTAGTTTTGCCAACCAATTTCCATGTGATGGAAATACCTGCCCTTTTGTTGAAAGGACAGACACATGCAGCATTCTATTGAGATATCTGTATCTCTGAAGCATATACATTGTATTCTTTAAGTGAATTATTTGCCACTGCAATGTTACGCTTACCTCATTCTTCCAGCTGAATCCACAGATACTGGGATAAGCTGAATGATTTTCAACAGTTCACAAATATTTACAAAATAAATGGTTTTTACCCAAAAGTATATTTATGTAATGCTAAACATAATACAATATTACAGAAAATATTTCTGGGACATAGGGCAAGCAGAAATTTCAAGAAAGAGATCTGGAGCACAGGAACAGCAGATGCGTAGAAAACACAGAGAACATAGATTACGTTTTTGTATTTAATTCAGGACAATTTTTCAGTGTTGTCATTATATGATGCATTAGAAGAGCCTGCAAAAGGCTCACAGTCCTTGCACCCTCTTCTGAGGTTCTCTGCAGAGATAATTCTTCCTGATTTCATAGACAAACTCAGAGTGAGTACCCAAATATTCAAAATATTTTCCTTTCACTAACAATTAAACAACCAGTCATTACAAAAAATCTTGCTCTCGGACTGTGTCAATATTGTCACATCTTATATATCTCTTTGGACCAGGGTCCATTGGGAGAAGTTAAAAAGCTGGATAAGGTTATGATAAAAAGCAATAGGAATGTTGGAAAGCCATAATAAAGTGCTAATATTCCACCACTTGGTATTCATATAAAGATTGATGCTGAATATACTTTAATTAGAATATAAGATTATGACTCAAAGTGAGATGTCAAGATAGGAAGTGCATAAATATATAAGTAGGATAACTGAAAAGACAAGGCACCTCAGAGATTCTGCGAAAATGGGCCACTGAGAAATACACCAATGTACAACATGCATTTTGACAAAATGCACAAAGATGTACTTCAGAACTCTGGATACTAATTTTTTATTCCTTGATTTTAAATTCATTGGATTAATAAAAAATATCTAGAAGCCATTGTGTCCATCCCTAAAAGAGACATCTTCTTGATGTGTAACTGATGCCCAAGAAACAATAAACAGTTGAATGGGAAGGGCAATTACAATATTAGATTGATTTACAGCTCGTCTGTTTTAATCTGCACCTAAAATACTTGAAAAATTCTAGTGGCTAAATTGTCAGTGCTCCCTGTAGATGAAAATTTCATTATTGATTTAATTTAGAAAAAAGCAAAAGCAGTAAAGCTCAGAGAAAACCAACTTTTTAAAAAAAATGCCAAATGAGCTTGAACAAATCAGTGTGCCTAATTCCTAGTAAGCACTGAACTGAAGTGCTTCTAACTTCATAAATATGTGTTTATGTGCAATGAGAACAAGAGTAATTCTGGTGAAAACATTACTCTATAATCCCTCAATAAGAGTGAACATGGCAAACCTCACCTTAGTCTTCTATAGGAACCCTAATGTTGAATTCTGTTCTGTACATTTAACACAGAGAAAAATTCTAGACCAATGTGACATCAAAAAAAACCACCCAAAACAACAAGTTGTAAATTTCTCCCCTTTGAGACAAAAATGAAACATCAGATTTCTGAGACTGGGGACGAAGTTTCTCTGTTGGCAGTTACCTCTCCTGGGTAACCTATGACTATGTTTGTAACCTTAGCTTAGATCTGGCACTGGTTATCCAACAGGCCATCTCCTTCTGGGTCCATAGCACAGCCTGAGAGAGGTCCCTGTTTATCAGTGTAACTGCTTATTTCACCAAGCCCCCATGCTCAAGTGGAAGATGATTATATAGCATGGTGCCAACACACGCAGCCTTTTCCTGTGCTCCATTTACTGAGAGATGAGGGTGCTTCATGCTGATCATTTTAGTTCTTAACCCATAGAAGAGTATGATTCCAACCTGTGTTATTTCTTATTTATATAAACATTAATAGTTTGTTGCCTGTTTCAATACTATGGAAAATGATGCATGCATTGCCAGTCTTTTCTTGACTATTGCTTAAAAGGAAATAAATATGACAAAATCTGGGTTCACTTTTAAGGCTTTAACTTTATGTAAGTCTGCTGTTAAAGCTACAGAGAGTGTAAAATCTGCTGCCCTGGCAAGGAAACTTCCTGTGCTAACATCCAGCTTTCTGCTCATGTCTGGGCTCAGGAGTTTTCAGGAGCTGCTCCAAGTCATCCCTTTAAATCTGCACTGTCACCTGATTTTGAAGCACCTTGTACTCCTTGGGTCTTTATGGGTAATTTCTATGCAAGCACTGTTGTGTAAGCACAATATCCTTGTTCCTTGCATAAATTTCAGTTATCCCTGCTAGGCAGACTGCAAGGCACACAACTTTTTATTTTTCAGAGGAAAAAAATATTTCATCTTGCTTTGTGTTTCCAAATTGCATCTTGAGATTCCAGCCTTTCTAACTTTCTTCATGCATTTATCTAATGACTAATTAAGAGGACCATTTGCTTGTACTGAGGAATTTCTGCCCGAACTGAAATCTTTGAACTTGTAATTATCTTTACAAAGTCTTTACTGTACCATCTATGTTCAAAAAGGTTTTATATCTTAGAATTACAAGTTTAGAAGTACATTAGAGGAGACATTCAGAGCATACAAATATAACTATGGAGATGAGTATTAAATATTACTTTACAGTAGATTAGAGTGCATGGATTGAAATTCCATCTTGGATTAGGATTGTAACCAAAATTTACTGGTTCTGTCTTATTAAATTTCTTCATGTCCCAGAAAGACTGGCATTTTTAGGTTGCAGAAACCTCTGAACAAGTATCAACTCCACAGAGCTATGATTAGCAAAGGTAGGTAACAGAAAGGACAGGAAACTGCAGCTGTGTGGGAGAGAGGCATTTCCAAAGTCTCTGAAAGACAAAACTGAGTTTTCTGTTTCAGCAGTGGGAAATCTGCTCCTAAAAGAGGCCTTGAAAAAGAAGTCCATTTCTGTAGCATTGGAGTCCCTGGGTGGGCAAGGATAGGGAGGATTCAAATCTGCACAGGCATCCTCAGCCAATGTCATTCAGCCCTAGATGCAGATGTAGCACTGGCCAGAGAGCTGGAGGGGCTAAGACCTCAACAAATCACATGTGCAACTGGAGCTCCTATAAAAGGAGCTGCAAGAATTAACTTAAGGCTGTTTGTCACAGGAACTTGGGAGTGCATGTCATTTCTGCCTCTGACCCACACCCCCCATCATGTTACAGATTTCTTTAAAGGAAAATTAAATGTCCACTGTGCAATATGGAAGACTTTGGATCAGCAGGTGTTAAGTCATTGCTCAATTTTAGACATTTTTTCACAGAGAAGTACAAACTAGACCTTTTTATTTTGGTCAGGAAATTTCCTGTGCATTATCTCTGCATTATCAGAGAGACAGAAGAGAAGCAAGAAAGCTGACAACACTAATTGGATTGATAAATGTTAGGGAACCAAGGAAAATTATGATGGGGGAGAGAAGTCTCTTTCAGCAGACTGGAAAGTAAAAGGGAAAAGCTGGTAAAAATACCAAGCTTTGTCTGTGATCAGAAAAGACCGCACTTCTCATATGGGACATTCAAAAAACAGGTCCTACTTTCTCGAATAGCAGGAGAAGTAGAATCATGGTATTACTTACTGGGATGAATGAAATGGTGTCATTTTATCCAAAAGTTTGGATCATTCTATGTACATGCCATCCCGATTTATTAAATTCAAAGAAGGTTTACAGAGAATATATGGAAACACCTGACCTTTGTCTTATCAGAGTGGGCTACAAAGAAATCAAATGCATTCTGTGGGGATTGATGTGTTGAATTTTTGGCCCTGCCAACTCAGCAGAGCTATCACAGCTTTCAGAGGATAATCTGGAAATGCACAGTGACTTCAGCCCTGTATATTTGTTTTGCTTGGATACAGTGGACAAGAACTCTCTATGGACACTCTCCATGCTTAGTCTGCCATCGCAAGGACTCCTCAAGAAAGAACTGATATTCTGCAATAATTTGCTGCTGCTGCAGCACCTTACTCTGCTTCAGTTGTGCTGGACATTCCTATAGCTTGTGCTCTCTCAGAATGCTTACAGAAGGTGCAGCATATACCAGTTTTGTTCTCCCCCCAACCCTAACTCCCCCCCCCCCACTCCCCCCCCATTTCACATATTGACTCTAAGGAAAAAATTATTCTTTTGGGTAATTTGTAGAGAAGTACAGATAGGTGCATGGAGTACTAACAGACTTGCCAACTAATTCCAAGAAAAGGATGCACCTAAACAATATCTGGGCAAATATTCAAAGAAACATAGTAACAATAATAATAATAATAATAATAATAATAATAATAATAATAATAATAATAATAATAATAATAATAATAATAATAATAATAATAATAACAACAGCAACAATAACAGAAGGGGACAACCAAGGAAAACCATGTAGGGTAGAAGGGCAAAGTACAAGGGATAAAAATTTTATGGCCTGCAGAAACATCAACCATAGTGACAAGACAAAAAATCAAAATGTAGCTACTTCATCTTCAGACTGAGGTTACAGGATGACAATTAGAAAACCCTGTTTTCAATTTAAGAGGATTTGTTTGATTGTAAGTGACCAGAGACAAAAATTTGGTGCTCGATGCCTTTTAAAATGAAATAAAATTTCAAGGAGAGCTGGATTTGAAATGCAACATTTATTTCTACCTTATAAGGCAGCATTAGAAGAAGTTCCCTTCATATCTTCCTCAATAGCTTTTATATTAGCAAATGCTCATATACTCAAGTGAAAAATTACTGTCATGGAAAAAGGGAAGGAGTTCTTTTAATTTGCTTTGCTCTTTTGAACTTCCAGTGACCTGCAAAACATAATTGGTTTATTCACTCACTAGAAGGCTTTAGAAATATCACTTTTACAGGAGTGGTAACTGCTAGAATTGTGAAATCTGGTGATTACTTTAGATGTTAAGAATAAACATTGGTGCCACTGATGTGCCTTACGTATGCTAACAATAGGTAAAAAAGTTATTGGATTGCATATTATTCTTTTCTAACCTGGAGAAGATTTAGGATCTTATTTCATGGAAATAAAGAATGAATGGAAATCAGTTAATAGGATTAAACCCACTGTAGAGAGATGTGAAGCATAAAGCCATAGTTAATGACTCGTGATCTCTTTCCCTCTGCCCCATCAATGCAGTCCCTTTATTCCTCCTTGGTCTGTGCAACTCAGGTATATTCCTCTCATCTAGCAGTTCATGACCTTGTTTGAGTACTTAGTCTTTTACCTAAAAACTCAGATGATGGTAAGATTGCTTTTTTTAAACAGCAGTGAAATGTACTATACATGTGTGAATCAAATGAAAAATATTAATTCTGAAATGGTAGCTCTATTGACTAAAAAAGTTTATGTAAATCTAATTTTTACATTTTTGTTCCAAGCACTCCAAAAGAAGACATGATGCTGAAACCAGGGTATTATTTTAGCATGCTTACTCCTTCACCTGATAGTCTCTGATATCTTAATATCTGCATTGTAGTTCAATATCACAAAGAAAAATATGTATTGTTCTTTCCTCAGCTGAGCCACTTGTGGAGTATTTCATAGTATCTAGATGTGGCACTTGGTGCCATGGTTCAGTGAGGTGTTTGGACATGGGTTGGACTCAATGCTCTTGAAGGTCTCTTCCAGCCTAGTGATTCTGTGATTTAGATTGAGACAATACTTTATTATACAAATATAAACCTCTGTGACTTAACCCTTATTTCAAGTGACAACAGAAACTGTTTAAATGTTTCTCATACTAAAAAGATCTCAAATTCCATATTTCCATTATGAGACTCGTACCAAACTCTTCCTGAATAAGCAACATATGCACTGTTATTGAATAAAAAGAATTGCATACCTAAATAGAAGGAACTGAAGTATTGTTTTAAAGACAATTGAATCTTGAGTACTGCTTTAAAGATTGTACCACTTTATTAAATCATACTGTAGTTTATGCAAAATACTGCAATATATTTAAATTCTAAGATTAGAATTAGCATTTCTTTAGGTGATGAAACTCCAGAAAATACACTGATAGATATTTTGATATCAAGTTTTTCTTACAGATCCTGAGATTTATAAAATAACCTGGAGGAAAGCAAAACACAGAAGTCAATTCAACCTGTGCTCAAAACCAGCGACTGAAGTTTGCATGCATAGTTAGGAGAGCTCTATGGAGTTAATCTACTAACACTGTGCTAAATCTTGGCTTTCCTCAAACTGGAACAAATTTTTAGACTATTCAAATTACTATCACTCTCTTGGCAATAGTGGAATAAAGTTCTGATTTTAAACCCAGAAGAATTTGCTCCAAGGCTATTGCTGTGGATGAAATATCACACTATTTTGTCAACATCCACTGAGCATAATATTATTTGGTGTGATTGCAAAGTAACTATTAAAAATTACATCCAAGACTTGATGGTATCCTTAAAAAGTAGAGTTATTTTTCTGGCAGTCCTCTTGCTTGCTTTGCTATTGTCCAAAGGACACAGTTTGAGCTGGCAGTGTACCCTTGTGGCTCAGAAGGCTGATGCTATCCTGGGGTACATCAGGAAGAGCAATGCCAGCAAATTGATGAAGGGGATCCTGCCCCTCCACTCAGCCCTGGTGAGGCACATCTGGAGTGCTGTGTCCAGCTCTGGGCTCCTCTGTACAGCAGAGACACGGAGCTCCTGGAGTGGGCCCAGTGGAGGGGAACAAAGATGATTAAGGGATTGGAGCATCTCTCTTACAAGGAAAGGCTGAGGGAGCTGGGCTGGTTGAGCCTCAAGAAGAGCTGACTGAGAGGGGAACTCATCAGTGTCTATGAGCCTCTGAAGGGAAGGTGTCAAGAGGATGTTTCCAGGCTGTGCTCAGTGGTGCTGAGAAATACAAGACACAATGGGCAGAAACTGATGCACAGAAATTCCACCTGAATATGAGAAAAAACTTCTTTAATCTTTTAAATCTTTAAACTTTTTGCAGTGACTGAGCACTGGAACAGATTGTCCAGAGAAGTTGTGGAGTATCCCTCACCGGAGATTAAAGAATTTAATTGCACATCCTGTGCAATGTGCTCTAGGATGGGCCTTCTTGAGAAGGGAAGTGGGATCAGATGACTCACTGTGGTCTCTTTGTGATGTTGTGAAATTTCTTCCCTCTCAAACCTGGGCATGTGGCTAAATCAAAGAACATCATGTTTGCTGGAAAGGAAGATGTCAGTACCCTAATCCTTCTGTGAGAGAAGCTGGGATTTGCACTTCAGGAAACTTTCAACCCTACAGAAGGAGGTCCATGACAAGGGTCTGGCAAACAGTCAAAGTCTTCCAGTCACTCATATCCCACTCATTGTCCGGAGATGATTTCTGAAGAAACTGCATTCAGTTTGCCTTGAAGTTTAAGAACAGTCAGAGAGAAGGGGGAATGAGCAAAGCCACACTCTGCCCAGATTAATGGCTGTCAGTCTGCTCATGGACCTGTCAAATGTAACTTTGCAGAGTCTTCTAAGAGCAGGAAGTGGATTTGGTATCAAAGGCTACACACAGGCAGCAGCTCTTAACTCATGGCTTATGTAAGTGCATATATATAAGAACAGAAGCCTCTACTTAAACCAGCCAGTCAACAACTCTCTTTCTGAGCTGTGGTGTGTCTCCAGAGATCCTTATTCAATTATTAATGCATCTGCTGCTAATTTCATCATGCAGAGTGTGAATTTGTCTTTCCAGGACGAGCTCTAAGGGAAGTTTGTAAGAAATATAGAACTTGTCAGCACATAAGAGTCAACACATTACTGCTGTGCTGCAGCCATTTATAACAAAACTAAAATGAGCACTCACTTGTTTGGCATTAATTTAATGTCCCACTTAGCTCCTATCAGACGTAAATAGCTGCTTCATCCATTTAAGCATTTCTGTTCGTGCACATAATGAAGTACTCTGTACCTGTCAAGTAAGCAGAATTCATAACTGAAATAAGAAATGGATGAGAAAATTCAATGTTCTTAATATTAAGCCTCTACAGGGGTAGCATCAGACTTTTTTTATGGCTTCTGTGAGATTCACCTTTTATTCCATTGTTCAGACACCAGAGATGTGACACTAGCATGCCAGAAGTGTTTCTAAAAGGGATGTCTGTTCAACTTATGGCACAATTAACAAAAGCTGTAGTTGGTGAACACATGCTATTACAAAATAAAATAGTTAACAAACCTGTCAGTATTTAAATATTTTTATGTTATCTATTTTAGAAAAACAAAATTTAATTTTAAACAGCACTCTAGCTGTGATCATATTCTCTAGAGGAAATTTTTATGAGAATGAACAGAGGTAATGACTACTATTAGTCACTGTCATTAGCATAAAACATTAGAAATGACAATATTTATAACAGGCTATGACATGACAGTTAAAATATTACTTTCTATCCTTTGTGTATGCTTTGACTACAGCTGGTTGCTATTTTCTAAAGTTAAACTGATAGAAGTTTGGTAATGGTATATTTAATAGCATGTTCATCATCAGATCTAATTGTTTTCCACCACAGGGTATGAAGTTTTATGTCCTCTATCAACCCAAAACAAACAGCCCTACTGCTTAATGGCACTTCAATTAATGTTTATGGTGCTACTTTTATAACCTAAATTACAAGAAAAAAATATCCAACAAAATCCTTCCAAGAAGCCATTTAAGAATTTAAGAAGCTTAATGGGACTTCAACCAATACCAAAAATTACTAAAAAATGTATGAGATCCCAAAGTTGAGGATGTGAAATAGAAAACACTAGAATGACATTAGAAAGACATTGGAAAATAGAAATAGAAGACACTGAAAAATTTTTTTAGCACAGTCTAACAATTGCCATTGGCAGGGAGAACAGACCCTTATGTTGGGGAATTTGGTTGAGAGACTTTAGGTTGGCCACCTTGCAATAGATGTTGTATCAGAGAAGACCTGTTCACCCCAAGTCATGCACACCTCAGACTCTGTGGCTCAGACTGCAAACTTATTCCCCCAAGAGTGATTTGCCCGCAGTAACCTAGTTGCTAACCTCCTACCCATAATTCATTCCACTATTTAGCAGAGCTCATGCTGATTAAAATGAAAGAACAGGTTTCAAAGGCAGGTTTCTTTTTAACTGCCTTGGTGCATATTAATTTTTGTCTCTCCCTTTTGTACTAAGCCTCTAGAAAGCAATGTAAAACTACTGTAAATACATTTTCATGTTCTAAATTATGAAAGCAAATTATTTCTGACTTGGACCGGTAATTGTACATAGCAGTAAATACATTCATTTTAAGTTCCCCATGATAGTTCAGACACCCTGATTTTTAGCTTTTAATGATGCATTATGAGCCTTTATTTCTCTGACATCCAGGCAATTAATCACTGACACTCCTTAGTCCCCCAGAGTAGCTGGACATCATTAGACAAGAAAGAATCAGACCTGAGGGGGGTCAACATTTCTTTTCAGGAATTACTTATTTTTTCACACCATAAACTCTGCTTGGCATTCATTGCAGCAAATATATTTTAATAGAACTGCTGTTATTCTACCTCTCCTCCCAGTCTCCCAGGAGTTTTTTGTAGCTCAACATGATGTTCAAAACCAGGCAAAAAATGCTCTGTGAAGTTTAAAGGCTGTCAAGCCTTCTTGGCAAATTCCCTCCAAGAGCACAGCTGAGAAATGACAAACCTATCACCTGACTGGCTGGTGTTTAAAGCTGACTGCTTTTGATTAGGAAGCAATGAACCTTCCCTTGTGGAGTTCATTCTGTGTTTTATAAGCACCTATTCACTGAAAATTATGCAGTTGAACTGATTTGAATTTGATTAGTGTAAGTTCCAGTTTTATTATTTGTAGTAAATATAGGCATCTCTTATAGTTTTTTACATTTAGGAGAATGTCAGGATAGTTAAAGACTTACTTTTTTTACTTCCCATGTATTATTGCTTGACATTTAAAACAAATCCAAGAATAATATATGCCTGTATTGCAGTTACTCACTTGTTGTGCATTGCTCAGGATGTACTCACACGCTACTTCTCGCTGCTCCAGGGGGAAGAACAGGATGAGGGCAGGCCTGCCAATTCAATGACAAAGCACTGTGTCCCCAGCAGGTGAGCTGAGCTAGAAGTAACTGTGAAATGCAGCACCTAATGTCTTTAATGGAAAACTCCTGTATTAAATTCTCTGCTGCAGACTGTGATATTTCAACAGGCAGCAGAGAGGAGGAGCAGAGCTGCTACCAGAGGGGCCAGCACTGAGCACGGAATCGCTCCTTCAATGTCAGCCAGCTTCATGAGCTGCAATGTGAATGCTCTGGGAAGCTAGATACCCTTCTATCTTCTGACAGCCTTTCAATTATATGTCCCTTCATATTATTACATAACTTCCAATGATCTGCACTGTGGACCTCAGTAATAAAAACCCATTTCATGCCTGAAGAACACAACTTCTTTGGTAAGTCAGCTTAGCCCTAGACGGGGAGCAGTGCATTTGACCAGAAACAAATGCTGAGTGGAGTCAGATGGTCAGGTCAATAAAAGCTAAAAATAATATTTGACTTTGAGAGAAAAGAGAGTTCAGGACACAGCCTAAAGGCTAGATTCAGCCCTAGCTAAACATTTATCTCTGTATCAGTGTTTTAAGGAGAGATTAGACACCCAAACTTAGATGCTGCAGAGGGGTTACAGATGTACCTACAGAACTCGCCAGTAAGGACTGGGGGTGACTGAGAACTTTCATTATTGCTGGTATGGCCCATAGTGTCTTATGTCTATTAGCTTGAGGCTGAATATTCTCCAACATTTAATTCTACCTATCCTGAGAAAAATGCCCATACTTACACAATTTACCTCCTCATTTACTTACCTGTTTTGTAGATCATCATTATAGTGCATGACTACAGCAACATAACCCAGCCATTATGGATGCTTAGAAAAAATAAAGGAGGCTCACTTCAGCTGCAATTCCAGCTAATAGCGAAACATTCATGTGATATATGCATTTTCAGTACTTCTTGAGATTTCATTAGTACTAGCTTCCTGTCTCAAAAATCTCTTAACATATTAATTTCAACAGTATCTGTATAAAGATGCAAGACAAGAAGTACAAAAAAGTATATCCTGGTTTGGGTCAGGATATTTTTATATCTTTTATACCAGTTATGACTCCAGCTTTTTGAGAACCTGAACCTGAGACTAGTGAAAGCTGCAGGCTGTAAGTACTTCTAAAAAAAAAAGTGCACAAATACGGAAAGTAGTGTCTAATCTCTCTTTTAAAAATGTTCAGAGTTATCAATGGAAGTGCCTTCTCCTAAGTAAATCCTATTTCTTTACTAAACAACCAATTTAAAAACAAAGCCTTCAGAGGAAAGAATCAGCAGAAATTACAGAAGTACAGAAAATTCACTTTTGGGAAATTCCATGGGCCAATTTCCACAAGGTGAATGAGGTGCATGAGAAGCTCAGTGTGAAGCCTTGAATGGTCTGCTCACAGCAGAGCTCTTGTGCATTGGGCTGGGCTTCTCTACACCCACTTTTCAACTTCTTGCTTGACAACAGAGCATTGGGCTACCTCAAACTCCAAGGACTAGCATATGCCTCATGCCTTGTTCTTCTCAGCTCTGCACAACTTAATTAATGATACAACATGATATACACAATCTGCAGCTTTAAATGAAAGCAACACCCACAACTGAAATTGAAAACTTTGCTCCTTAAATGTTTTGAATTTTGCCCAATCTCAGTTACCTGAAAGACAGCCACATAGTCTTTACCAGGCATTTAAGAACATTTTCTAAACAGTAGAGGATATTTAATCTCATTTGGGTTTTTTGACACATAACTGAAAAGTGTTTAAATAGTCCTTTGGACCTGAACTGAGTAACCGAGTATATATATATATGTGTGTACATATATATATGTGTGTGTGTGTGTATATATATATGTGTGTATATACACACACACACATATATGCAGCTGGAAAAAAAAAATCAGAAAATGCAAGGAAGTAATGGAATTAGATGAATCTTGGTATTTTGCTACAAATTTCTATCTTGTTCAGGAGGGGGAAAAATCAGACTTCCCCTTTCTTCGTCAATAGACTTTTGTTAATCTTCTAGGAATATTAAGTAATTAAGTAGAGCTTTCCAGCCTTCTGAAATATTTTATCACTTATTAAAAACTGCAGTTACTACTGCAATTAAAGGAATTACTACTCTCAAGTTTCCAAGGATACTAGGTTATTTCCTTTAGGCAATTATGATCACCTACTTCCAAGTCCCCCTTGTAAACCATTTTAGGAAATGTGGTATAATGGTTAAGAGTTTGGGCTCTAAGTAAAAGTATTTTGGTTCTGATGAATAGTATTCTGTGATGTAGTGCAGTTTCCCCCTTCTTCTTCCATTTTCTATATGCAAAGCAAAAAGAATAATAATAAAAAAATATTTCCAAGAGCTTTAGATTACTATTTACAGTGGTAACACACTTAAATACAATCTTAATAAACCCTTAAGAAAACTGCATATTTCTTTATCTCACTCACAACCTACATAAAACTGGAGTGTGAATACTGTCACCTAGGGTTTATTTCCAGCTCTAGCCTGGAGACAGAATCTTGAAAAATCCACGGAGTTTTTTTCTCCAGTCTAGAGCAGTGCTAGGCTTGAGTAGCTTCTGGCCACATTCTTTTAGCTCTTTCTCTGTAGAGAAAAAAAATCCATGTCTAAACCAGGGCATAGTTTAAATTTTTATCACCATTTGCAATACTGGAACCCAAAATTAGTGTGGGCAGAGAAGCGCCACCGCTTTTTTAAGACACGGTGACAGGGAATGGGGTCCCACATGGGGACTTCATGCTGTTCCTCAGGGAACACTTCAGGCCCATTTCTGGTGTGCAGTCAGGAGAAACAAGGGAAGGACTGTGCTTGCACCAGGGTGCAGGAAATGAAGCTGAGTCCACCTACAGCAGGACTCCACATTAGCTACTGGTGCTGATTCTGTGAGCTGAGACCTTCTGGATGCACTAACTACCAACAGCAAGTGACAATGGTCTTTTGCTTCACGTGCTATTTGCTGAAGAAACAAGTTCATTTCTAGTAACTAAATGCAATATTTATACTTGTACTTTTTAATAATTATAATTGTACTTTTCTACGACATATGGATGTATATAAGCTTATTACAGAAAAATACAACTCAGTATTTAGGATTTAGGAAATGTTAGATTTATAATTTCCAATATGATTACATGATGTTCTTCAGGATATGCAAGAGAACATAGCCTTTAACTACAGGACCACTTACCACCCTTTTCTCCAAAAGAACTAACTCATTCTGGATAAAAGTTTGAATTAATTACTTGTATCTGTCCTAAACTCTAATGGTATGACCCTTTTTGTTTTCTCTTTCTCATCCAAATGGTTGCTGCTGTAATTTTATTTACTTTCTAACAGATTTTCATTGTGCATAGTTTGTAGCAACAATGCTACAGTAACTGAACAATATAAACCTTAATAAGTAAATTCACAGTAGCTCAAAGAAGATACCAGTATTTTCAGAGATGAACAAGTAGAGAGCAAAGCAAAAAACCCCCCAGAATCTGCAAAATTTAGTTTTCACATACTGTCTCAAAGGTTGACATGCCAAGGGGAGAAAATTTCTTAAAGTATTTTTGATGCTCAACACACCGCAAAAACGCAGTTTATTTATTATTGTGTTGCTTCTGTGAGAAGATGATTAACTGTTGTATTTCTTTATGACAGAAAAAGTGTAAGAATTTAGATACATAATCAAACTGTCCTGTCTCAAAGTAGCAAGCATCATACGCATCTCTGCATAAGCTCTTTTACAATGGCAACAAAATATGAACTAGTTTAAAATAATTCTATTTTTTGCAGACTGATGTGACCTAATTATCTCAAATTTTACATAAAATAAAACCATATAGAAAAATACTAGAGCTCACCTTATAGACTGGAAGATCATTATAAATCTGAGTGGTGGCATATCCTAGAGAAGGTAGTAATGGTAGGTCCAGAACTCAGGGCTGTGGAGAGTTCCAACCTGAGGCTGTCCTTCAGAAGCAAGTGATTTATTGCAAATGATGTTGAGCACTCTCAATTCCCTGAACACCAATCAAAAGGTACAGTACTTCCCTAAGGCTCCAAACATCTGAAAATCAAGATAAAGTTGGGTAGACATATTCAATAAAGAACATAAAATTAGTTGTCACATTAATATTTTTGCTTAAATGACCTAAGTAGCTTCACATAGCATCTCTGTGACACAGGGTTATAGTTCTGGTGACAGAAGACTCTTGGAAGACATTACCTTCCAAATTCTGCATGCTATGAGATAATGCAGTTACAAAACACAATGGAATTTGCTATACAGCTCTAACACATTCCTGTTCCCTGCAAAGCACACGTACAATGGGACTGCCTGACCTGCTTAGGATCTCTAAAATGATGAGTTTGAACAACAGAGCAAAAAAGAGGCAAAGGAACAAACTTAACACTTGTATTTGCTTCTTTGGTTGGTTTTTTTTTTTTTTTTTTTTCTTTTTTCATAGTTCTTTAGATTCCTCATCTAAATTCTTAATTTTTATACTGCTACAATATTTCAGGTGCTGCCTCAATACCTTTTCTGTACCTGCAATCACTTACTTGAGATGAAGGCTCATAGTCCCTGCACAGTAGTATGAGTGTGCTTTTGGCAATGTAATATAAAAAGGAGGTTTGTGGGGGTGAATTTTATGAACATCAACACTCATTATGTAGATACTAAAGCAGAGTCATTATATTCTTCCAGAGTAAATTAATTCTCAGTGCTGGTATGGATGAGAATGGGAACTTGTAAAAACAAGTTCAGTTGCAGTTGCGTTTCATTTCTTGATAATATTAACAAAATCAGGCCTATGAAAGACTAATTAAATAAGTTCTTATTAGAATAAATGAATTGTCAGAAAATTTAAAGATTTAGGCCAGAGAGGGAGGAATTTTTAAAACACATTAGTTTCTTTCTTCAGCGAGTCAACATCCAGAGAGTGTTTTAGAGCATCTGGCTTAGGTACTCCGAATTATTTCCTGTATGCAAAGATCACATGGAATGTGTAGGTACTTTAGTTACCTGTAGCAGCAAAAGTAGTTATTTGAAGCTAGGTAATGAATGTGCTCTGTATTTCCCCAAGTGTTACACCAAGGTAATTTCACATAGAAGGAAAAAATTCTGATCAGCCGAGTAGGGGAATGTAGACATCTTTCTACAGCTTCTACCAAGTTTATTGAGTCGGCAAACAAGAACTTTGTGGGTGTCTCATGATATTATCCAAAACAAACAGATTTTCATGAAAGAATCAGAAAATAATTTTTGGGTCACTCAGGGAAATTCCTTAGATCCCAAGGAAGTCTATGATATAGGAAACCTCAACTTGCAAATTGTGTATACCTTTTCATAAACTTGGAAACATTTTTCTTTGATGAAAAGTATTAGGTGGATATAAACATCAGGCTTACAAAATGAACAGTTAAAGTAAGCCAAGCACTGTGAAGTTAGTTAACTATCAGTTACAGGTCAGTGAAACCCAAATTCAGGTCTTGTCATGTATAGATTTGATGTAGTCAGTGTCTGAGTCAAATTTTGTTAGATTGTTGTTTTTTTTTTTTGTTTCAACCATTGAGTTTAAAATGGCTGAGTTTTTTTTTTTTTATTCTGCTTGATTTCATTCCTAAGAAAGATCACTGAAAGAAGAGCTTTTCAATATTTGTTTTATCCTCATTATTCAGTGTGTTTTTTCCTTTATTAAATGTCTGAACAGTTCAAAACTTTAATTTTTCTTGAAAAAATTATGACTTTTGCAGTTGGCTTTCTGTGTCATTTGTGGTAATAGTACCTCATAAATGTAACTAATTGTTTATTATGTTCCTGAGTTAAAATAAAATATTCAACACTGTTACATTGTCTGCAAAAGCCAAGGCTTGCACCTAACCTCAACCAGCACTTTACAGTCAGGCACAGCTGATGATGACACTTGTAACTGGTGAAAATCAGATCCAAAAAGTCTTTGAAAGAATTCAAGACTACAAAACCCACAACAATAGCAGGCTTTTACTTTGAGCAATTTGTCCACCCTCACAAAAAATTGCTGATAGAGATGCTGAAAGACAATATAATCCATTCCTCTGTTTTAGCCAAACTCAGCTGTTTTCCATTAAACACTCTCCAAATCACTGGGAATATCTGCCAGTGGTTCTGTGGCTAAGAGCCAATTTAGGCACTCAGCCCTTATACATTTCCACAGATATCAACTTGTATTTTAGGCAAGACTGCAATTAAAAATATGAGCACTGGGAAAATAAATCTGAGATAGGATCATTCTGGTGTCTAATTTGCTAATACATACAGAGCTTCTGCTTGTTACACATATTTCTCCTGACCTCTTCACCATGCACCCCAAACATTTTTTTCTAGGTCTGACAGAAAAAAATATTATTTTTCTGAACTGTTTAGCATTTTGACCAAAATCCTCCAAAATCCTTGGGTTGAGCACATACCCACCTTGGAAAATTTACCATCTTGAAAATTCATCATCTTGAAGAGGACACAGTGGTATTTACAGAACATCTTAATGGTAGATAATATGGCCAGCCTTGCCAAAAGTATATTTACAAGAAAAATGGAGGCATGGCAAATTATAGCTTGTTCTGTACTCTATCTGTGAGAGCTATGAATAAGAATGATTCATTGAAGTAAGTCCAGATGAAGAATCTGGTTTAAAGTGTTATTATACCAAAAAACTGTTTGCTTTCTAGATCCTTAAATATATTCTTAGGGTTATTTTTGGTTGACTATGTATTAGAACATCAGGTGCCTTATTTCCATTACTTTAGCTAAGCAGACTTCAAAGTAGAAAAACCCAAACGAACTACTCCAAATCTAAAATTATCCCTAAACTGGTATAAAATAAAACTTCTGTTATTTCTAAAACTGTCAGCATGACAAACTTTAAAAATATGTAGGTTTTTAGGATCCAGTCCAATGTGCTCAGTGCTATGGGGAGGACATTGGGTATTACCAAGTGTCTCAAGCCCTTATCAGTGTTTCGAGATGTCCTTCTTGTTTATCAAAGACAAACAGCATGAGAAACTTACCATGGCAACAGGTGATACAGCTATAGAAAAATAGGGGTTATAAAGGAAATTGATAAAGATAATAATAACAGGCTTCTTCAGTGTAAATCTGGTACATGTAGGGTCTCTATACACACACATTCTGCTGTGGCTTCATCCAATTGCCTGCTAAAGTCCAGCAGGCACCAAGTGATGACAGCACAACGGCACTGTGGACAAGGGAGTTCAGTTCTCAAAACAAATCCCAGCTCAGAATGTATCCCGTGCTTCATTTTCAGATGCAGCTTTTTCCCCTCACCTGCTGCTCTGCCAGTTTCCCTTTATTACATCACTTTGACCTGTTGAGTGACCTTAGCCAAATCATGCAGCTTCACTGTTTTTCTAATTTTCCATTATAAGGCACAGATTGAAATAAATACCTGCTGCCTTTAGTAAGTATTTTGACTTCAGTGCAACAATTTTCTTTTAAGCTCTGTAGGTGCTATTTCAGCTTTTAAGGACTATGCAGCATTATTGGGATGCCCACAGCTCTTTCAAATGAGCACAAGGTTCCCTAAAGCGTGTACCCCACATGGCTTCACAGCCTAATGGGCAACCCACTTTTGCCTTAGATCTGCAATCAAGTTCAGTGATACAAAAAGTAATGTGCCTCCTTCAGAAATTTGATAGTTGTCATGAAAATAAAGTGGTGACTACCATGAACAGATGAACTGGATTGCCAAGTTGAGATTTGAGCCAGCAGCAGTGCCAAGCAAGTACCTTCAGCTAAATATTTTTCCTACATGTGGGAAAATTGGTTATGATGACATGAAAAGTAAAATCTTGATATGGTACTGTATCTAAAGTACTCTTCCTGGATCAAAGTTATTTCACACTGATGCTAAGCAGGACATGGGCTGGAATAATACAGTCCAGTCCTTCACAGCTAAGTGTTCTGTTTGAATTTAATTAAATTATAAAACTGAATACAGATCACATTCTGAATTTCATCTTCCCTTTTCAGTCCTTGATGTCAGCAGGGATTTTTAGTGTATGAAACCTGAGTAAGATCTGCAGGATTAAATTCTCCATCAGAAAGCTACTTTGCTTAACAGCAGGAATTCAATGGAATACAACATTCCTGTCAGTTGTTTGTATCTTTACATCATGAATTCTAAACCAGATATTAAAAAGGCATTAAATACTCAAAATACCATACAGAATAATAAAAAGAAACCTATCAGTTTTAAATATTCAGAGAATGCCACACTAAATTCCTGTATTATTAGCAAATAGCAGCATTTCATTTGAATGACAGTGTCCTTGATTATCTTTTCAGCTAAAATTGGTATATGAAACATTATATGCTTCTGGGAAGAAGAGAAAAAAAAGTGAAAAAAATAAATGAAAAAGAAAGAAGCTGCATTGGCAAGACCTTTTCACTGAATTTTGCCACTGGTTGTACAGGATTGTTATAAGGTTCAGGAAGATATACAGAGAATTATTAGCTGAGCAATGAATGTGGAGTTAAAAGTGAATACAGTAAACCATGATACAAAATATCTGCACAGGTTGTTCTGTGTGCTGTGCAGAAGTAAAGAAAGCAAGCCCACCCAAATGCTGAGTCACAGATGAGCAGCTCAGCAGTCTGCACCTCTGCCTTGCTGGTGGTGACACAGTGTGAAGGGCAGGGGCATGGAACAGAAGTATCCACTGCTTTCCTCTGAGTGAGCCATCCATCATGAGCTGATGCATCCAGCCTGGCAACAACAGCGCCAAACAAGATAGAAACAGCTATTCTCACACTGTATAATAATACTGTACAACAAGAAACTATTCCTCCATTAAATCAATAAAGTACAGCAGCCACAGAAATAAACAAGAAACATCATTTTCATAATTAATTCTACTCTTATCAGGGTAATGAAGCATTTCTATTTTCCTTGTACATCCAAATGTTGTGAAAAGATTTTAGAAAGTTCTCTTTGTTTCCACATAGCAGCTTGAAAAGTTCTTAGGGCACATACAGATGATCGACTGCACATCTTTTTCTTTCATATTTATCATTTTAATATGCGAATAATGACCTATACCATTACAGCATGGGTGTGATCGTCTTCCAATAAACCTTCCTTCTGATTTACATATTTGAAATATGTCTGCAATTGCATTTTCAACAAATCTTGCTCTTCTCTGGTAAAGCATACTAAGTTTCAAAATCAACTCAATTATTCTAGGAAAGGAGGCATTTATGTCTTTCCAGAACTACACAACACAGCCTTTTAAAAAGATTTATATAAGAAAAAAAACCCTTTGAAACAGTGACATGTTTTTAGTAGAAGTTTAGAAATCTGTATTTCTTATGCTTAAGTTGACAAAAATTGCTTCTCTTTGAGAATGAAGACTTTGCTCCAGATATGCACAATTAAGAGATATACTTCAATATGTTCTGCCAAGATGAAATAAAAATAACTTAGTCCACCAGAGACTGTGAAAGGACAGAAAATCTTTCCTGTATTCATATTGGCAGGCACAGTTCATCTTCAGATTCCATGGTTTCAGAACATAAATACTGTACACAATGTCTCCACAAAAAGATGCCAGCAGTCTCAGGAGCAAAGCTCATAAATTGTCTAATAGCTATGTAGATTAGCAAATCTTTCAGTAGGAATCATCTTCCCTAATGTTTCAAATGAATGTTAGCATCTGACTACCAGGACCAGAAGCAAAACCAATTGAAGGAAAAGGAAAGGCTTAATGATTTCAGAGCTTTCTGAAGGGTTCCAATGATAAACAGTAATGACTAGAAAAATTTAATTAGCTAAGAACAGGGTGGATGATGATGATCATCTCTGCAGCCATAACTAGTTTGAGAAAGTTACCTGTGTGCCTGTTCTATCTCAGCAGACCAGTACAGGAAAATGGAAAATGTGACACTTTTTCTGATAACTCTTGGGTTTCAATAACTGACAGAAGTCACAGAGTGCATCTGAGTTTTTAATGGAGGACAAAAAATTTCAGAAGACATTAGCATTATTTTTCCATTCAATATTCAAATATTTTTCAGTTTTTCCTGTGATTTTACTTGTTAATTTGGGTTCTTTTTGTACTTTGAATTATCTGCTGACAACAGAGGATGACAGGAAATAATAACAAATATCATCTTCATTCTTTGGACATTAACTACAGCCAACCTTTCAAATTACAGACTTTCTTTTTGTGTAAAACCTTTGTAAGTGAAATAGTTTTTTTTTTTAATCCTACCTTGAAAAAAAATGGATCTACAAATCAACTCAGTCCTCCTGATCCCTAAAAATCCATAGATTCTGATATAGGGATAAATTGGTTCTCTGTCACTTAGGATTCATTTATAACCTATTCTGTGATTCTGAATTTATGAATATTTTCCCCAAACTTTATTTATTTATTTATTTATGAATAAATTCCCCAAAAATATTATCTTCTTGCAGTCTTGACCATTTATTGAAGTTCCACAACATTATAGAAGAATTCAGGTAATGCTTATTAAAAAAGCCAAACCTGTTTTCTTCAACATCTTTGCTAAGAAGTTGTTAGCAAACAGATTGTTTAAAGAGATTATAATCTTGTTTAGATCTGGTATTTCTTTCACAAAAGAAATTACAGAAGACAACAGGAGAACAATTTTCTGCCAAAATATGTAGCTATTTAAGAAAATTTAGGTAGAGTTTCTCAGTTGCCCTTTCCTTTTACACAGTATTTTTCCATAAACAAAAGGAAATTTACCAGTTAGCTTTACAGATTATGAGTTATCTCTAGGAAGGCTGCATGAAGAACACTGATATCCAGTGCTGTCCCAACTTAACCTTTATACAGTCTTGACTTGTTTCTGCATGTTAATGCAATATAATATGGAAAATGTTCTAGGGCTTCCTTTCCTTAATGGATCACAGGCTTCTTTCAGTCAATGTCAAAGATTTTTTCACTCCAATGTTTAGCTAATTTGATGATTCTCCTTTACCTCCATTTATAATTTTGTAGCTGCAATATTTGAATCTTGCAAGACTTTGGACTTCTTAGAAAGACAGTTCACAAAACAACACTGTTACTGTCAAACATGAAGGAAATACGTCACTATTGTAGACCAAATAGGTTTTTATTTGAACACAATACATTGGTTACTTGTTCTTGATTTCAACTTCAAATAATAATCCTGGATGGTATTTCATGAGGACTACCATAAATCCATATTATCAGGACGAAATAATAAGCCTTTCAACGGGTGCACTCATATATGTTAATTATCCTGATCCTAATGGTAACTTGGTTGCTTTACTCAGTTCCTGATATGCAGCTCAGTAGCTCAGTCCTGGCCGTGGTTTGGCAGCTCCTTGGCAATGCAGACACAGCCCCTTCCATCCTGCCGCGCTCACTCACAAGGTCTGCACACCCATCTCCTCAGAGCTACCACAGACACAGGGATGTGCTCCTCAAGCCCCCTCTCCCCATCACTAACATCAGTGTTAGGCAGTTTGGAAGTCAGCACGTGCCTAAATAAAGTGGAGTAACTGTGGCTGGGCTATGGGAAGGGCGTAGAGTAAGGGGGTAGAGATCACTTGGCTTTATGGCTGTAGCTCTGTCACTCTGAATGGAGGTTGAAATCCTCATTAAGCTACAGAAACATTGCCAATATCCTCTGTGGTAAGGTCAGATACACAGAGCTTCCTGAGGGTCTTCATTTATTCATATGAAGATTTAAGATCTTTGTTTAAACACTGTAAAATAAGCCAAATAGGAAAGAGTTATATGGTGCTACTTAATTTTCTAATAAAAGTTGCTGCTCTAGAAATACCTATTTTTTCCAGTTAGAATGGCTCTTGAATACATGTGACAAGGCTGCTAAACAAAACAGAATTTGTTGATTTAACTACTAAAGAAGTGCAAAAAACCCATATAGCACTACTGTCTTCTACAGACCAAACTGTTCCACATATGAGGACAACACAGACAAACAAAAAAATCTCAGAAATATTTGAACAAAA